ATACCCCCACTTTGTGGGGGGGCCGGTTCAAGCTCTACCAAATTTCCAAACGACTCTTCGCCACCACCCACACCCAGCTTCCCGCCCTATGACGTTCGGACACTTCACTTCGTGGCATGCGGACGACCGTGGCTACTATTCAGGGCCCCGCGGCCGACGACGACGGCGTGCGCGCGCGAAGAAAAAACGAATGTGTCCCGCATGGTATTATTTGACAGGGATGATGGTCCTGGCAGGTGCGCAACCGTTGTTGCAGAAGTTCGAAAAAGTTGCTCGCAAAAGCCCGTTTGACAGAAATGATTAAAAAGTGTTGGGTTTCCTACAAATCCGCAAGAGCGCGCGGGATGAAATTTTGACAATTTGTTTTTGAAAAACCATTGGTTTTTTTATGTTTTTATGTTAAAATCGCTACGAAAACTAAGGTTTTGGAAGGATTTCGTCTTGCGCGCGCGAATGTCCACTTTACCTTATTTTTTGCAAGGGATTCTTGAAGTTTGGTTATGTTAGAACAAGAAATGTCCACTTTAGCTTATTTTTTGCAAGGGAAAACCGATCGTAACAACACAACCGGATCCGGACTCCCCCGTTTTGCCTGAGACTTCCTCACGAAAATGATGAAAATAAGGCTGCGGCCTAGGCGCGGCGGGGAGGTCGTGCACCAGGGGCGCCAACAATAATTATTCTTAAGAAGAAATAATGTTCAACAACAACAACAACAACAACAACAACAACAACAACAACAACAACAAAAACAAAAACAAAAACAAAAACAAAAACGGCTCCCGCTTCAGACTTTCTCCCAATTTAGCCAAGACCCCCGCTCCCGCCCGAGACTTCCTCGCATTGTATTCAGGAATCGCGCTCTCGCTTGGGACTTCCTTCCAATGTATTCAGGAATCGCTCTCCCGGCGCTCTGCAGTCGCGTTCGGTGGAGACTTGCTTGCAACTTACTGAAGAATAGCACCCTGCGTTGGAATTTCATGCAATTTACTGAAGCGCCGCGCTCCCGACACCCAGGCACCCATGAGTCGCGCTCACGCTTAGGACTCCCTCACAAATTACCTGGGAATCGGGATCTCGCTGCCCTTCGTGGCCCCGTTGCAGCCCTTCGTGGCCCCCTCGCTTTGTTTCGTGGCCCCGTTGCAGCCCTTCGTGGCCCCCCTCGCTGCCCTTCGTGGCCCCGTTGCATCCCTTCGTGGCCCCGTCGCTGCCCTTCGTGGCCCCATATATGTATGCCCTTCGTGGCCCCCGCTCGTTAGCGCCCGTGGTGGCCCCATATGCATGCCCTTCGCGGCCCCGCTGTCGCCTTTCGTGGCCCCCTCGCTGCCCCTCGTGGTCCCGTTGCTGCCCTCAGTGGCCCCGTCCTTGCCCTCCGAGGCCCAGTATACGTTCGCCCTTCGTGGCCCCCGCTCGTTCGCGCCCAGTGTGGCCCCATGTGCATGCCCTTCGTGGCCGCGCTGTCGCCGCTTGTGACCCCTATCACTGTCCTACGTGGTCCAGTTGCTACCCTCAGAGGCCCCATGGTTGCCTTCTGTGGCCCCGCAATATCTGCCCTTCGTGGCCCCCGCTCGTTCGCGCTCTTCGTGGCCCCATACGCATTCCCTTCGTGTCCCCGCTGTCGCCCTTCCTGGCCTACTTCGTGTCCTTGTGGAACTGCTGTCATTCTCTCTCGCTCTCGCTTGCGCTCGTCGTCGTCGTCGTCGCCGTCGTCGTCGTCGTCGACGTCGTCGTCGTCGTCGTCGTCGACGTCGTCGTCGTCGTCGTCGTCGTCGACATCGTCGTCGTCGTCGTCGTCGTCGTCGTCGTCATTGTCGTCGTCGTCGTCGTCGTCGTCCGCCGGGGCCCGGCCTGCAGGGAAGAAAGGTATACCCCCCAACAAGGGTTCGATCGAAGACGAAGAGGGCGGGTATCGAGGGTTTGGGAAATACGCGTTGTTGGACACTCGAGCAGATAAGGGCGAACAGTCTTGAAATGATTGTTGTTGTTGTCGTCGTCCCATTCGCGAACCGGCCCGCGACCCATCCACGACCCGCCTGCGATCCGCCCGCGACCCACGCGACCCACCCGCGACCCACCTGCGACCCAGCCGCGACCCACCCGCGACCCACCCCGCGCCCGCCCCCTCACTCTGATCCGCAGCTGAGCCGCCCTCCCTTCATTCTGTGGGCATTTCGGAGCTAGGGGGGTCCTAGCGAAAGAGGGTGGGCTTCGCAGCCCCCCCAACCCTCTTTTCCGACTCCCGAGATCAGCCCGGGCTCCCCTTTCAAAGGGGTGGGGGGGGCGCTTCCGAAGCTACCCCCCCCACCTGTTGTATGGATGTTCTAGCTGGGGGGTTGCGGGCTAAAGGGGTGAGGCGATTGAGCTACCCCGCCTCCCCTCCTTTTCGGGGTGAGCCCGGGGTAGACCTGGGCTCGCCTTTCCAAACAAAGAGGGGGAGGGCTTCCAAAGCTAACCTCCCCTCCCCTCCTTCAATTGGCTTTTCCAGCTGGAGGGCGCTCGCTGAGGGGAGGGCTTCGAAGCTACTTTTCCTTGTACGTTTTCGGCGCATCGTTGATTGTCGGCGTACTTGTGTTTTTCTGCGTTCTTTGGTTTTCGGCGCCCCTATGGCATTTGGCACCTCTTCGATTTTCGGCGCCGCTTTGGTTTTCGACGCTCCATTGGTTTTCGGCGCTCCTTTGGTTTTCGGCGTCCCTTTTGGTGTTTTCTACGTACCTTTTGGTTTTCGGCACATTGTTGGGTTTCGGCGCCCGCTTGGGTTCCGGCGACCCTTTGGTTGTCGGCGCTCGCTTGGTTTTCGGCGCCCTTCTGGTTCTCGGCGCTCCTTCAGTTTTCGGTGCAGTTTCGATTGTTGGCGCTACTTGGCTTTCGGCGTCCCTTTGGTGTTCGGCGCCCCTCGACTTTCGGCGCGCCATTGGTTGTTGGCGCCCTTTGGCTTTCGATGATACTTTGGGTATCGGCGCCCCTTTGACTATTCTTCGCCCTTTTGGTTTTCGGCGCATCGTTGGCTTTCGCCGCCCCTTTGGCTTTCGGCGCCGGTTTTCGGCTCCCCGATGGTTTTCGGCGCCCTTTTTGTTTTCAGCGCCCTGTCCGTCTTCGGAGCTGTTGTTTTCGACGCCCTTTTGGTTATCGGCGCCCCTCAGGTTTTTCGGCGCCCTTCTGGTTTTCGGCGCATTGATGCTTTTCGGCGCCTTTTTGCGTTCGGCGCCCTGCGGTTTTTGTTGTCCTTTTTGTTTTCTGCGCCCCGCCCCAGGCTGCCCGCAACCGCCGCCCGCGCTGGCCCCCCGGGCCTGGTCTTGCCGCCCGCCGCCGGCGCCCCAGTTTCTGCCGGTGCCACGCCCGCTCCCGCCCTGGGAAGGGCGGCCGTCACGCTTCGATGCTGATCGTTTTGCGCCCTTACACCCGCCGCGCCCCGCCGCGCTGCGCCCCGCTACCGTGCGTGGGTTGTGGGTATCAAGCCTATTGTGCATGTTCGCTGGGATCTCGTGGGAGGCCTCTCGGGGCTTCCTGGAGGCAGTCTGGACGCCTCTCAAGGGCCGCTGTGGGGGCCTCTCAAAGGCATCTTGGGGGCCCCTTGCGGGGCCACTTGCGGGGCCTCCTGGGGCCCTCGCACGGCGCCCCGCCGCCGCCGGCCCCCCCAGTGCAGCAACCGCCGCGGGCCCGCCGGCGGGGCTGGCCGCCCCGCGCGCTCGGGGCGCGACCCGTCCCCTGAGCGGCTCGCTCCCTCCGCCCCCCTCTTTTTCGGCCGCGTCCTCCGCCGTGTCCCCCCTCCTGCATGGTGGCAGAATGCGTCTTCACGGCACCCCCGTTTTGGCCTTTCCGCTGGCGCAGACGACCCCTGCCTCGCCGCCGACGCAAAAGTTTTCCGCGCTCCCTTGGTCTCTGCGCCCATGTGGCTTTCGGCGCTTTTGGTTTTCGGCTCCCTTTTGGTTTTCGGCGCCCCTTTGGTTTTCGGCGCTCCTTTGGTTTTCGGCGCTCCTTTGGTTTTCGGCGTCCCTTTCGGTTTTCGGTGGCTCTTTTGGTTTCCGGCGTTCCTTCGGTTTTCGGCGCGCCTGTGGTTTTGGTTTTCGGCGCCCACTTCGTCCTCGACGCTCCTACCTTTAGCCAAAGGAGGGGGACATCCAAGCCCCCCCCCTTTAGCCAAAAAGGAAGGAAGGGGGGGGGACTTCAGGGCGAGGGGCTTCTGGGAGGAGAGGTTCCAAGAGTGTGGGGGTAGCTGAGCGCCCCCTACCCATTTGAAAGGGGAGAGGGCGGCGGGGTAGCTTCCGGAGCGCGAAAGGGGGCAGAAGCTTCCGGGGGGCAGAACAAAAATAAAGAGGGAGGGGAGCAGGGGAGGTCCAAGGGGGGGTGTAGCTAAGCCTCTCCCTCCTTTTGGAAAGGGAAGGGGGGGGGTAGCTTCCAGATCGCGAAAAGGGTGGGGGAGGTAGCTTCCGAGGGGCGGGAAAAAAAGAGGGGGGGTCCTGCAGGGGACGTCCGAGGGAGGGGGGATAGCAAAGGGCGGACCCCCCCTTTTCCCTCCCCCCCATCCCCCCCATTCGGAGTGTACCACAGGCGCGCTCTCTCCAAGGTTGGCATTGCGTGCCCGCCCAACAATCTCGTTCACCCCTCAAACCTTTAGTGGCGCCACACGGAGCCTCACCGACGGCCCCAGTGCGAGTGGAAGACCTCGCATGGCGTGTGCGGCACACCACTCACGCGCTTCGCGGCCCCATAGGGAACTAACGGGAGGCCCCATTGGCGGAGTTCGCATAGCGCCGCCCCGCCAGGATGATGCGCGCCAGTCCGTCATTTCGCTCGTCACGCCCACCTCGATTAGCAACTAAGGGGCCCTAACGCTTTGGGAGCGGACCTAGAATCAGAGGCCCAAAACATGAGGGACACGGAATATCATTCGGCAGATGTATCAAACCAAACCACCCAGATTGCTTGCAATGACGGAACAACTGTGTTAGGCTACGTCTCCATCGTGTAATTCGAGGCAGGTGTTCTTCTGTTCTCGGTGACCCCTCTTCTCACTTGCCTTTCTGGCACCCGCAGCTGCACATGGTTGGGTCCTTCGCCAGCTTACCTGTTCTTTTGGCTGCGCGGCCCAGACTGGTCAGAAGCAGCGCCGCCCGGACGGCGCGCTGCAGCGCCGCCCCGACGACAGAGAGGCGCTCCCGCCCCGCGCCGGCATCCGGCAGCAGCCCCTCTGGCTCGCCGATGCCCGGGTCCACCTCTGGCCACATCGCCTAAGAGGCCCCCCAACTGGGGTTCGAGTAGATGGAATCGAGGAATCGCGCCGCATCGCCTGTGCATCGGGCGACGTCGGCGATGCATCGGCGACGTGGAGAAAGTCGGGTTCCACGTCGAGTTGTCTCGCCGATGCATCGGCGATGCGGGGCGATCCTTCGACCCATTTATCTACTCCGACCCCACTTGAGCGACGATCAAAGACGGGTCTTACACGAGATGAGGCAGTGACCTTACGCAGCGGCTTACGCGGGCCGCTGGCCCGGCACGCAACACTGGAGCCGAGGGCGCTAACGCGCGACCTTACGCGAGCAACTTGCGCGCCAACGTCGGCGCAGTCGACCCAGCTCTTCTGCGTCGCTCACTTGGGGTGCCCCGAGCCTCGGCCTCCCGCGCGGCCACCGCCCGGAAGGCCTCCGCGAAACGGGCCATGGCGGCAGCCGAAGCCAGCGGGTCCGCCGCGGGCGCCACCCACGGGGCGACGGCCGCGGGGCCGCCCGCGGCCGCCCGCCAAGAGCCCGCGGCCTCTTCCCCTCCCCGGGCGTCCAGGGCCTCGGCCACGGCCGCCGCCCAGGCGCCGCCGCCGGGCAGCCACCGGGCCCCGGCGCCCTCCTCGTGGTCGCGCAGCGCGGCGCAGAGGCGGTCGGAGAGCTCGGCGTGCAGGTGCCGGAGCGTGGGCTGACAGGCTGCCCCGAGGAGCGCGGTGGACGAGGAGCCCCCCGCCTCTCCGTGGGCGGGGAACACAGTCTACATCCGCGGCGTCGTGGGCCGGGCCCCAGGGCCGCGACCCCACGGAGACGGGGCGCTGGCGCTCTGTCGTCGCGGAGACGCCCCGCGCGGAACGCCTCCACGCGGCCGCGCGCATCCACGGGGCCGTGCCCGGGAATCCAGACCGCGAGGGCGCGGGCACGGATATGCTCGCCGCCCGTGGGCCTCCACCGCGGCCCTCAACTCCCAGCAAGGAGCCTCGACCGCCTCTCCCGTGCTGCACTGGTGTGGGAGGACCGATGATCCTCAGAACGCGCGTTGGCGCCAGCGCGTGTTTGTGCATCGGAACCCCCCCATACGGTGCAAGCGGTACCATGGTCCGCCGGTGAAGCTAAGTAAGCACAATTTTGAAATGGCAGCGCTGGCGGACACAGGCGCAAGGGTCGAGACTGGCGGAGAGCGCTGGGCGCGGGGCGCACAGACCGAGTGGGAAAGTTGAAAGCAGCCGTGGAGGAAGAGGAGGAGGAGGACGAGGAGGAGGCGAATGAGGAGGAGGAGGAGGAGGAGGAGGAGGAGGAAGAGTGGGAGGAGGAGGGGGAGGAGGAGGAGGAGGAGGAGGAGGAGGAGGAGGAAGAGGAGGAGGAGGAGGAAGAGGAAGAGGAAAAGGGAGGACGAGGAGGATGACAAGGAGGAAAAAGAGGAAAAGGATGTTGGAGCGTCTGGGAGGGCTGCGTGTCTCCCCGAACTACCGCCGCTGGGGGCGGGGCCACCTGCGGCGTTAACCGCCGAGGGACATTTCGACCGCTTGTAGGGCCGCGCGAGCGAACGAACGAGCATCATTATCACTAAACGGGAGACGGCGGTACTTACTTTCCTGATGACCTCATCGGTACAACTGAAAAGGGAAAGCCGTGAACTCAAAGGTGTCGGGTTCAGGGCGGATCAATCCTAAAGCCAAGAGGGGGTCCAAAAAGGGGGGCGCTGGGAGATCTGAATTAAGCTGCCTGCGGGCGAGCATATTATACATGGGACAACGTTGGCATAAGTAATGCTTTAGCGAGTCCCTCGCCCCATGACTTCCCGTTATGCAACCGCGATATGGGTTACGCATCCGCGACTCGATGATCCACCCTCCCCCCCAGGTCTTGATGCAAGCACTGCGCCACGAGGGCGAGAGGCGAAGCATCACCGAGGCAACGGCAGACCAGTCAATCGCCGCGACGTCAGAAGCGTGGACCCCAAACCAGCACTGCAGCCCACGGGCCAGACGCGAGTGCAGACGAGGAGGGGACGCGTGGGACGAAAGAAGGTGGGAAGAGTAGATGATTGCCTGCGGCCGCACACGAGGCGCGGCACCGTCTGCCTCACGGGCGTCCTCCTGCGCCTGCAGCAACGCTCTCACCGCCTGCGCCCTCGGGGACTCGCCCGCTGGTGACGCCGCGCGCTGCAACGTGGTCGAGATGGCCTCCGAGCGCCACCAGGGCGGCCACGGCTGTCCCCCCAACCAGCGGACCACCTGCTGCTGCTCCGCCGCCTCCCATTGGGCCGCCGCCTCCACCTGCGCGGCAGCGCGGGGCGTCGTCGTGGCAGCCCTGACCAGGCGCGCCTGCGTCCAGGTCGTAGCTGACAACAACCGCAGGCCGCCGACCGGCGGGAGCTCGCGCCACTCGCCGTCGCCCAGAAAGGCGCCAGGGAGACGCGGCAGCTTGGGCAGCTGCGCCTTCTCCAGACGCCGCAACTCGAGGGGCGGTTCCAGCAGCTGCGCCTTGTAGCCCAGGACGGAGACGCACCTCTCGCCGTAGAGCAGGGCCAGCGAGTGCACGTCGGCTTTCGAGCGCGCCACCTCCCCCACCCTCCCGCGGAGCCTGCCGAGTGGCACCCCCCACTGGGAGGCCGGGTCGGCGCCGGGGCCAAGGGGCGCGCCAAGGTGCTCCAGGGGGTCGCCGACGAGGAAGTCACGCCAGTTGCGGCAGGCCCCCGACAGGCGACGGGAGGTCTCGGTGTTGAGGTCCTCCAACGGCAGGGCACCCAACGGGGCGGCGCGGCGCTTGGTCGGCTTGGGCCGGAGGCTGGCCAGGAGGCGCCCAATCCTGAAGACGCGGGCGATGGACTTCAGCGCCTTCGCACCTCTGACCGCGGCGCCCAGGTCGTCAGCGTGCCACCGCGCGCGGCCATGCCCCTTCAAGTCCACGCGGATCTCCACGTCGCGGTCGAACGCGCGCGCGGCCAGCGCGCAGAGCGAGCCGCCGGCGGGGCCGCCCCGCCGGACGCCCGAGCGGGCCATGCACAGCGGCCGGCGCGAACGAAGAGGCGGCGAAGCTCTGGGCGCCGTCGTAGTTGACGCGCAACGCCGCTTGGGGGCCCATCGGCGCACGGGAGGCCCGCAGGGCGGCGAAGATTCAGTCGTGCTCAACGCTGGGGAGGGCCTGGCCGAAGTTGAACGCTGGGACATCGGAAAGGAGCCCAGGTCCCCGTCGCTGGCGCGGATCGCCAGGATGCGCGAGGAGGCGTCCAGCACCGCGGTGTTGTTGCAGAAGCTGCGGCCCCGCAGGAAGCCGCGCTGCGCGGCCGCGCAGCGCTGCTCGACTGCGGGCTTCATGGGGCGACTGATCGCCCACATCACCGCCGCTTCGAGTTATTCTCCGGCGCCGGCGGCCGAGTCTCGCCTGGGCGACGAACCACCTCGATCGGAACCTCCAGCCTGGCACCCTTGGCGGAGAAGACCGCTGCCGAGAAGTTCCAGGGGGCGCGCGTCTGGAGGCCAGCGAGCTGCCAGTGCATGGCCAACGTCAGGGCGTCGATGCCGAGCGAAGAAGCCAACCAGGCCTTGGGGCCGAGACCGTCAGGGCCAGGCATGGCTCGGCGAGCAGCGCGGAGCGCCAGGGCGATGAAGGCGCGCGTCGGCGGCGGCGCGAGGTTCCAGTCGACGCCCTTGATGCCGTACCTGTAGAGGTATTCCACTTGGAGCTGGCCCTTGCGGAGCTCCGTCCGCGGCGCCTCCATGGCGATGTCAACCAGCTCACCGTTCACGGAGGCCTTCGCTTGCAGGGGAGGGCCAGCAGGACCTGGGGCGGCCGCAGGGGGCGGCCGAGGGAGCAGACCCAGACGGCGGACCGCATGCTCCATCCTCGGCTTGGGGCCATCGCCGAAGACCCCCCGCAAATAGTCGCCCGGAGCCCGCATCACCTCCAGCTCCGCCCTGGCCATGCCGTCGGGCAGCTCGATGGCGCCGAGGAAGCGCCGAGCCGATTAGGGGGCCCGCAGAGCCGCGCGCCGTCGAAGAGCACGCTGCTGGCGGACGAGGGCGGCCCTGGCGCGCGAGTTGGGCCCCGCGTCGATCAGCTCCTGCCGACGGCGAAGGCGTGCCTGAATCTCGCGGTACGTGCTGCGCAAGCCGATGGCGACGGGCGAACTCCGCGGGATCGCGGACGCGCGCGCGGCGGTCCGCCACCTGGCCCGCAAGCTCGAGGACTTGTGCCGCCCAGGGGCGGCGATGGAGGAGGCGTTCCGCCGCCGCGACGTTGGCGCCAGGCAGCACGCCCGAGCTGACGCCGGACCATCGCGTTGGGGGCCCTGCCACCAGCGTCACCCCTGAGAATCGAGCCCCGCGCCGCCGCGCGCTGCAGCAGCTCGGCGCGCGCGCGGGCGCGGTCGGGCGGCGACAGCTCATGCAGCGGGACCTGCCCCTCGCGCGCCCGCGCAGGCTTCGCGAAGCTCGGGCGGTCGAGGATGAACTCGGAGATCGGCGCGGCGACGCCCGCAGCGGGGAGTCGGCGGCGCAGGCGAGGCGACCCGGCAACCGACAGCGCGGCGTGGTCGGAGATGTCCCGTACGTGGAGTTCGCGAGGCTCACCGCGCACTTGGGTATGTTGCCACGTCTGAGCAAGCAACCACCTCGGCGCGCCGATCCAGGGCTTGTCGATGGTGGTGGCCAGCTGGCGACCCTGATGCCGGCGGGTGGGCTTCCCTGGCGCCATCTCCGTGGCAGCGCCAAGGTGATTCTGTCAAGGGCACTCGCGAGAGCGAAGAGCAGCGCGAGGCCCACTGGCAGGGGCGAGAGGGCCCTCGACCTCGGCGTTCCCCCCGTGGTTGTGAAGTCCTCCGAGATGATCACAAAGGGCTTGAGCGGGTCGCTCTCCATGCGCAGAATACCCCGTCGGATGGCAGCAGCAACCCGTCGAACCTGCTCTCGCGAGAGGTCGCGGTCGCGCGCGTTCCAGCGGGTGAGAGAGCAGCCCGTGTCAGCCCCAGCCTCCACAACAGCACTCACTCGCAAAACTCTGGCGCAAACATAGACGCGATGACGAAAAACAAAATCAGGGCGAGCTCGGCAAGGGGAACGCCGCGGCCACCCCGCCCCGCGCTTCGCTCCCCGAGGTGTCGAAGCTGGAGAAAAGCACGCGTGGCCGAGCCCCGCGCGATCCATCAGCGCGCGCAGGCGCGCGGCCGACCCATGGACCTCCTGCGTGCCAAGGATTGCCCATGCGCGGAGCTTGGGGAGAATGCAATCGATCTTCTCATTGGCCGCGCGCGGCTGGCGGTGGCAGAATGCCCTCGCGTTCCAGGTCGCGAGGCACAGCTCTGCCTCCTTCTGCGGCTCCCCGAAGAGCCGCGCGAACCGGCTAAATTCACCACCACCCCCTCTGGGGTGCCACCGCCGCCGCCGCGGCGCGCTCGAGGTCCGCGCGATTGATCTCGAGCTCCTGGAGGACCGCAGGCGACCGGGGGACCTGCGGGGTGGCCGATGGGGCCAGCGATGGAGACCCGCGGGAAGGGCCGCCAGGAGAGCGCGAGGGGGCGCGCAGCCTGGCCCACGAAGATGCGGCGGCGCTGTCCCACCACCCGACCGAGAGCGAGCGCCGGGCGCTTGAGGAGCAGCTCATGGGCCACCTGCTTGCGATTCTGGTCCGCCGAGACCGAGACGCCCGATGCCGACCGAGGCTGTCCCGCCGAGGCGTCAGAGGTGGGGCCCGCGCGGCCAGCGTCTGCATCCGCCCCGGGCCAGCGACGCGACGGACAGCAGGGCGCGGGCGGTCGCACCCGATCGGGCCCATGGGATCGGGTCCGAGGAAACGCACTCTTGGCACCAGCAGCGCGCAGCTCGACTGGGGCTGCCTGGAACGGAAGCAAGCCTCGGACTAGAGGCGCCCACTTCTTGCCCGAGGGACAACAGCATCGCGAACCCAAATGGCCACGGGGGAGGGGGGGGCGACGACGCCGACGACGACGAGGACAAAGGCCGCATTGAGACAAGTCAAAAGCGAGCCGCCCAGATTTCCAAACCGGTCAGGGCTGTTCCACGAGAGCGGGCCCTGGGCAAGACCGGGCACAGACCAGCAGTCACCTACGGGCAGATGGCACAAGGCCTCAGCCCCAGCACGGGCTTGAAACTTCGGAGCTCGGTTGCAGGCCTCGCAGGCTACAAGAGGCCAGGAGGCTGCCCAACCAGTTGCATAAGACTAGGCTTCGAAGAAAATGACGACCCCATGGCGAAGGGGAGAACGCGGGTTTTCACATCATGGCTAGAGACTTGAACCCGCAAGCCTGAGCGAATGCGCGCCGTTGGGGTCGTCTGGAGCAGGACGGCCACGCATCTGCAGGCTGCCGCCAGGCACTGGGCCTGAGTCAAAGACCTCATTGGAGCTGTCGTTGCCAGCCTCATGGACCTCCATTGGGACCCACATTGGCCCCACAGGGGCGAAGTTCTTCGCATTCTAGAGCTTGACAGAGAGCATATGCTCTACTTTGAGATCAAGCAAGCTTTAGATTTTGGACCATGAGTGTTGAATTCGCGCTGCCAGTTCCTATCGATGTGGAAGAGGCGCCCAGGACGGTGTAGAACTAACACTGTTGAAGCAGCACCTCCTTTCCCTTGCACGTCCCAAGAATTACGATAAAACAATAGTTTTCCGCATGGTGGCCACAGGGGCCCTGCGGCCAGCAGCGAGGCGCTTTGGCGGCAAAAGCCATGGGGGCATCCGCATCGTCCACTCCCCTCCTGACGCCCCCCCCTGCTGCTGCTGGTGCCCCTGCAGCTGCGGATGCCTCCTCGTCTCCGGACAACCCGCGGCCCCCGCGGGCTCCCGCTTCGTTGGATGACCCAGAGGGGGGCCCTTTGGAGGAGGAGGACACTTTTATCGGAAAAAGAAGAAGAAGAAGAAGAAGAAGAAGAAGAAGAAGAAGAAGGCATGTTCGAGATGGAGATCGGCCAGGCCTTGTTCCACAGCGCCCCGCCCATTCCACGCGTTCGGAGTTCCAAATTACGTCACAGGTGCCAAGTGTGCGACGAAACTCTTGTCCACCTGACCAGGGAGCGCCGCTGTAATTTCGAGCTGCCTGACGAGGGCTTGCGTTGGGATCTCCAAAGCGACGCGCGCGAGGGGTGCCCGGATGAAGCGTGTTTCTGGCTGCGTGGTCTCACGCCCTTGGCGTGGACCTTCAATATCCAACACTTGGAGATCCAGGGAGTAGAGAAGCTGCCCCCCTCCCTTCAAGGAGAAAAACTGCACCTTCCCCCTGGGGCCGATGTCGGAGGTGATGGGTCTGGAGGCCCCTATTCCGCCGACCCCAGGTTTCGAAGGTGGGTGGGGGGCGGCCACTTTCCCAGGATATGAAACTTTGGGGTGGGCAAAGGGGCCGTTCCCCACATTCAAGCAGACTGTCCCTTTGTCCGAGCTGTGGGCCTGCCATCGCATTGCCCAACTGACGGAGGGAGACCTCATTCTCACCGGAGATAATGAATCCGTTGTCTCTGGGATTGGTTCGGGACCTCGCTCTTACCACTCCCAGAATCCCATTTTCTGGGACTGTTCTGGCAGGAGTGTGCTGGGCGCCGGGTGAAAGCCGTCAAAAGTAAGTCTCATGAGTCCGCCTCCGATGCTGTGTTAGGTCGACAGAGAGGCTCAACTCCCCGATTGGGCCATCACCGAAGCGTTTCGAGCTGACACTCTCAATAGGAAGTCCAAGAGCACATAATGACGGTTTCCCATCACATTGCCACGAACGCTGCCCAGATATATGGTGCCAGTAGCGCGGAGGACAGGAAACGAGAAGGCAAGCGCGGGACACTTGCCAAGCTTGATGTCCTCTCGGCGCTGTGCCCCAGTACGTCCCACTGATTGGTGGACGTTTCCTCTAGCCCCCCAGGTGCTCTAAATGCCTCACGGCCCCGTCGGGGGCTGCGGAGGACTGGCTCCGTTCGGAATGCCCTGGGGTGCCTGCGAGGATCCATCCGTCCCACCAGAAGCTCCAAAGGTTTCAGGGCGTCTTTGAGTGCCGTGGAAATGGGGGCTACGCAGCTTTCACTTTTTTATAAAGCTCTCTAAGCCCAGCCTAGAGAAAATCTCGGAGCACGGGGAGAGAGTCCTCAAAGCGCAAGAGGCGGGGAGGCCCCCGAGGGATATCAAAGCCTGGCGCCTGGCCTGAGCCAGAACCTCAGCTGGAATTCCCGCCCCCTGTTGCGTTTTCTGATTTGGGGAAGGGGCCCTGTCGCGACTCACTGGCTGGGTGGATCGCAGCCCTGTCGGTGAGTGACAAATTATGAGGGGCCCCCGCCGAACTTTTATACAGGGGCTCCGCCATCTGGACACGCCCTCTAGGTAGGCAACAGGCAAGAGGAGAAGGACGAGGAGGGAGGATGAGACCCGACCGCCGAGAGGCGACGGGTGAGGAGCGCGCAGGCGGCATCAGGGACCGAAGGCGGTGTGCACCAAGCAGCGGAGCAGCGAGAGGACCATGCCGTCGAAGCGAATACGGCCAAACGAGGCGTGCTCGCAGAATGGATGGGCCAAACACACATTGGGCCAACGCTGGGGAAACCAAAGAGTGCCGATACCGCGACGCCCCGGGCCTCTCCCGGGGCGCATTCTGACCAGGACTTCGAGGCGAATCCAGCCGTGGCGACGAGGGCCTCCCAGGTCGCCCAAAAAGATGAAGCCGAGGCAAAGGTAGCGGTGTCGGCACCCGCCCCTCCTTTCAGACCTGAGGATCGTCGAGAGGAGCGGTTGCCTGCGGCCCAGCAGCGGGTACGAGAAGCAGCCGCGGCGGGCCTCCGGCTGCAGCTCCCGCAGCTCCACCCGCAGGGCCACGCCCGCCTCTCGGGCCCCTCCAGACCAGGACTTTGACAAATCAACCCTCGATCCTTGATCGATCCTCCGATCGTCGATCCTTCGATCCTCGATGATTGCTCGATCCTTCGACCCGCCATCCACGGCCGCGAATTCCTCGAGCGCACCAACGTCCTGGTTCATCGAAGCCCCTGCTCATCACGGGGCCTAGGGAGACACACCTGAATCGACACACATTCCAGGCATTCCCATGTTTGCTCGTACTTGCTTGATTGTTCCATCCCCCTCCGTTGCCAATCTCTTCGCAAAATTCTCCCGAGAAAATACAGCGTTCCCACGTGTCTGTGGCTCCTCTTCTCTCCTGAGCTCGGGGGGCCCTGCGCCTCCCACGCGGGCCTCTCGCCGACTGGCCCGCCGCCCGCGGCGATGGACGGCAACCCCCGCAGCACGCGGGCCCCGGCGTCCTGGGCCAGCGCGGCCAGGAGCCGGGCGGGGAGCCCCCATATGAGCACCGCGCCGCCGTCGCGGCACGCGCTCGCCACGGCGGGCGCCACCTCGCCCGACACCAGGAGCGCCTCGGTGCCCCGCGCCGCGAGCAGGCGCCGCAGCGCCTGCACGACCGCCGCCTCCCTCGCCGCGCCCACTGACACCGCGGGGCCCGCCAGCAAAAACGTCTCGGGTGGGCGGCGCCGTGAGGGAGCGCACGTCTCATACGCGGCGACGGTGAGGTCGGCATCGACGAAGACGGCCCTCCTGAGCGGTGGCCAGCGCTCTGCCAGCAGCGTCGCGTCACTCGCCACCAGGCACTCGCGAGGCACGTGGCTCACGATCCCGCGAAGCAGCGTGCAGTCGGGACGGAGCCGGGTCCTGACGGTGGCGTAGACGAAGCAGTGCCGCCCGCGGCTGCAGTCGGGTGCTGCCGCCACAGAGCGACAACGACGCTGCAACTCTGCGCAGATGTCGTCCAGGTCGTCCATCTCGCTCCGCTGGGCGGCCCCAGAAGCCACAGGGTGGGGCCCGGGCGGCGTGGGCGTTGGCGCGCACAGTGCTGCCTCCTGGGCGGCGCCATCCGCGCACGCTGGGCCAGGCTCGCCCAAGAACCAGCCTATGTCGTCCTCTGCGTCGCTGCCGCTGCAGGCGCGGGGCAGGGGCTCCCCGATGGCACCGCGCTCGGCAAGGCCCGCCGAGCCCGCGCGCGGGAGGCCGCGCGCCGAGCCGCCGGAAGCGCCCGCGAGCAGCTCCGTGGCCAGCTGCTCCGCGGCCAGCCGCTCCAGCGCCTCCCCTGCGGCCAGCTCCGCGTCCTGCAGGGCCTGCCGCACCGCCCACGGAGTGAGGCCCTGCTCCAGCAGCGCGGCCGCCGCCTGCAGCAGCGCGGCGGCGGTCACCACAGCGCGCGCCTGGGCAGCAGCAGCAGTCGGCATCGAATCGGGAAATCGGGTCGAATCGGCATGCCCATCGGATCGGGCTGCATCGGCACGGTGCCGACATCGAATCCGATCGGATGCGCCAGGCTGCACAACAGCGCCACGCGATCCCTGAGTCGCATCGGATCGCCAGAACCTCGGAATCGAATCGGCCCCGGCCGGCCGACCCCGAGATCCAGTCGGATCGATCGGATCTCAAGTGGACCCAGCCTGGGTGGCCCTGTCAAAGCTCGCCAGCGCCAGCCCCTCGAGCATCTCCCGCGCCACCTCTGCGGCCGGCTCGCCCTCGTGGCCGAGCGCGTCCGCCACCTCCACCGGGTCGCAGGAGATGCCCGCGGGGTCGCCTGGCCCCTGCCCGGGCACCACCTCTTCAGGGGAAACCACCAAGAAGGGAACCAACACACTGCCGTTGCAAAAGCTGGTGCGTTCTGGCACGGGGTTGGGACCTCCTGGCCCCCTGAAGACTCCTACGATCAACCCGTAGGACACGGACGCACGATGAGGATGCAAGGGCCTTAGGAAGGCCATGTCGACACTTCGCGGCCGGGGCGCGGCCAGCGAAAGCGGCCAGAGATGGGCCGAAGAAACAGGATGCAAGGGTAACCTTGGAAAGTCGCCCATCCTTACTATGCGGGTTGGCTGACGCCCTATCTAACCCCTCTCGCGGAGTCATTCGGGTCCCCCTTGAAAAATAGCCCTGTCATTTCACCACGGGGTCGGAAACTTCTCCGCCCAGTCCATGATGCAAAATGGGGCGGGATGCATGTCCGCGCGAAACAAATTCTATTAAACCAATTCCGCCTACTCCGCCAGTGGTCAGTCATATTGCATCCGGACTACATTTAATATGTTTTGTCGCAGCGAGGCACCGCTACTTCCTTGACCTCTCCTGGGGTGCGTTCTGCCGAGGATTTCGAGGCGAATCCGGCCGTGGCGACGAGAGCCTCCCAATGGAGGCCCAGGAGGGCGAAACCGAGGCCAGGCTAGCGAGAACGGCACGTTGCCCAACATGCGACGCCCTGATTTTTTCAATGCGGCGTCCCCAGAGGTCTGGGCCCCTTCCCCAGGGCAGCATGTTCATTCTGGGACCCCAGTGAGAGCCCTCAGGGACCGAAAAACGCCTCAAAACCTCCTGCCCTGATTCTTGTTCCACGACGCGAGCATGTCTACTCCGGATTTCACCATAAGAGGGGGGCTGTCTGATTTTTGAGGGACCTGGTTTGAGCTGTCTCGGAGGGTTCCAGTGGGGTCTGGGCAAAAGGCCGCCGTCTCATAGCCCTGTGTTGGGGAGGTCTGAGACCGCTCGCCTGGCAGGACTGTGTCCCCCTCCCTTCTGCGACGACAGCTGGTCTCATGAGCTGTTCCCCCTCTGCAGGAGATGGACGAGGCAAGAGGGCGGACCTGAGAAGAGGAGGAGGAGGAGGAGAGGAGAGGAGAGGAGAGGAGAGGGAGGGCTGCAAGGAGTGGAGAGGAGACGTACACGGGAGGAGGAGGAGGAGGAGGATGGGAAGAGGAGGAGGAGGAGGAGAGGAGAGGCCCCCCTCTCCCGCCGCCCTGCACCTTGAACGTGGGCTGGGCGGACCGCCCGGGGCAGCTGCCGGCGCCGGCCAGGAAGGGCGCCAGAGACTCTGCAAAGGCCGCGAGGCGCTCCGCGCTCGCCCGTGCGGGCGCGGCAGCGTCGGAGGCCGCGGAGGCGGCGGGCCACTGCGGGCCCGAGGGCGCCACGACGGCAGACCAGGCCATCGCAGGACGAGATCGGCGGTGAGCGAGGGGGGGAAGTGAGAGGGAGAAGGCCTTCTCAGAGAAGGCGGCGGGCCTTCTCAGAAGCCCTGGCGCCCTCTGAGAAGCTCTGTGCCTTCGGGGAAGACGCAGACAACTTCTCAAAGGGCCAGGGGACTCCCGAGCTCTAAGGCCGACTTCCCAGACCCCCTCGAGTTATGAACAAATCACGACGGGAATTGGTTCGCTATTTTCGGCCTCCGAAAGTCCTCGCCGGGCCGCGGGACTGTCAAAAAAGCATCCAGATGAAAAACTGGTCTCGGGGAAAGGTTCCAGACCTCTGGGGGTCGACGTTGTAAAAAGTCACGTCGGGGGTCTGGGCTGATGATCGACGAACGAGCCACACACACACACTCATGCCCGCCCGTAAAGGGGACGGGGGGAGCTATGGATACTGAAACCGGGCTGATTCATACGGTGCCTATCTCATCCTGTCAACCTCATCTGGTCAAACTCATCCGATGCCTAATTGATCCGCGCCTAACTCATCCGCTGTCAAACTCATCCGGTCTAATTCATCCGATGCCTACCTCATCCGGGCTAATTCGTCCGGTGGCTAATTCATCCTGACAAACCCATCCGGTAGCTAACTCATCCTATGCCTCACCAAATCGCCCAAGACTACCTGATCCGGAGCTCATCCGATGCCCTTACTCATCCAGTGCCTACCTGATCCGGTGCCAAACTCATCCCGTGCCTAACTCATCCAAAACCAAACTCATGCGGTGCCCTAACTCATCCGGTGCCAAACTCATCCGGTGACTAACTCATCCGGTGCCCTAACTCATCCGGTGCCCTAACTCATTCGCTGCCCTAACTCATCCGATACCCTAGTCATCGAATGCCGTATTCACCTGGTCCGTCACTCGTCGGGTGCCCTAAACTCATCCAACCTAACGCATCCGGCACCTTGATGGACATGCCTGGATATGCTTGACGACGAACCGTTTTGTAGTCAAGAAATTCTGGATCCCCTACTGCCCTGGGATACCCTCAAGAAGCCCTCCTTACGAGCCTCGCCAACGTGGGCTTCAAAGACATCCAGAAATAACTCCAAACTATTCAAAAGTTGCTTTACTACAAGCCGTTCTGTAATCAATTCCAGGCCCCCCATCTGCCCCAGGATGCCCCCAAGAAGGCCTCCAGAAGAGCCTCAGGAAGCCAATCAGAACGTCGGCTTCAAAGACATCCAATCATAACCAAGCAAATGCTGGCCACCCGTCTGCCCCACGATACCCCAAAGAAACCCTCCTGACGAGCCTCGGAAACCCCCACGTCGGCTTCAATGACATCCAACAGTGACTCAAAAGCAACTCAAAATTGGCTCGACTTCAAGCCGTTATGTAGTCAAGCAAATTCTCACCCCCCCCGTCTGCCCCAGGATACACCCAAGAAGCCCTCCAGAAGAGCCTCGGGAAGCAACGAGCCCCCGACGTCGGCTTCAAAGACATCCAACAATGACTCAAAAATAAGTCAAACTTTGCTTGACTACAAAACGTTGTGTAGTCAAGCAACTTCTCACCCCCCTTGTGCCCCAGGATGCCTCCAAAAAGCCCTCCACAATAGAATCAGGAAGCAGCGAGACCCCAACATCGGCGTCAAAAGCCATCCAAAAGAAACTCAAAAGTAACTCACATGTTGCTTGAACATAAACCGCTTGGTCGTGTGATGGCCGCGTTCACGGGCTTGTTGCGGTTAGGGGGGCCAGCCAGAGCCCCGAATGATTCTGGAGGGGGCCGCTTGGTTCTGGAGTGATTCTGGTTTTCCCCCAGTGATTCCGGAGTGGTTTTCTTTTTTTCTTTGCGCAACTCACTGCAACCGAAGCAATCGGTGCAAGCGCCTGCCCTTCGGGGGGGCAACTGCTTGTTCGCTCGTTTATGATGCGGACCGATTGCGATGGGGCCAGTTGCTTGCGATCGCTTGCGCGCGCTGCCAACGTCGAGAAAAACATTGGATCACTCGCCCGCTGGCGGGCGAGCGAGCTTCGACGGCCCGCGAGGGCGTGAACAGAGTCTCACCATGGCCGAAGGAGGGCTCCAGGAAGGCCACGAGAATGTTCCAGAGGAAACTACAAAAAGGTCCCAAGATGGCCTTAACGAGTCTCGAACAGACCCTATACCCACCCCGTGATGGTGAACCGTTTGCTATTAGCTGGTCGTCGCACAATGTATTGTTTAGTTCGGCCGATAGTGGCGGATAGGTTGACACGCATACTTGTGTTACTCAGAAATCGTATCGGTGCTTGCCTTGTCGTGGCATAGACGGTAGGGGAATGGGCGGGCCGTGCACGCGCGGGTGAAGTTGGTTTGGGGGGAGCAGGGGGTACGCGCTGCGCATCAACATGGATACGTTTGGAAGTCAGACTGTCACCGTACACATGGACACTGAAGCATTACATGCGGCGTTTGGATAGTGCGGCTTCGTGCTGGGGCCCCCTTTGGGCTCTAGTGGGCATGCTTGGTCCACTCAGGCTCAAGGGTGTCCGCGGGGCCCCCCCGATCCCCTTGGAAGCCACTGGGGCCCTCTAGTGTCTCAAGGGAGCGGTCTAGGAACCTCCAAAACAGCCCACTTCAGAGCCCACGGGGCCCGAAACCGATGCGACAATTCTCACGTAGGACTGGCCGTATCACTGTCAGGGCATCCTGGCCATGCTCGGACGGACGGGGCAGCGCTGCCGCGTCCATCCTCGCGCATATGCGTCCGTCGCGCTGGGCACAGCCCCCTCTTCCTCCCACCCGAGCTCCCCCCCCTCTCGTCGACGCGCCGTTCCTCAGGAAACCCGACTCCTAAGTGTTAGTATCCCTAGCGCGGCACCGCCGCCACTTGATTCAAATGCACAGCACGGGGAACGACCTACGGGGCAGCTCGCTTGTTCTTCGAGCCTAGGTTCGGGGGGCCGCACGCCGCAGGCGCGCGTGCGGTACATGGCCCCACGACGCTTGGGCTGGCGCTGCGTGGCAGCCACGCTCTCAGAACAGGTCAACTTTCCACGAGGCCTCGGCGGTGTCGTAACCGGCCGGATCAGGCAACGCCCACAGGTCCACAGGCGTGCTGCCGCCACCGTCCCATGCGCCGTCGTCATCGTCGTCGCTGACCTCGATGACACTCGGTGTAGCCACCTTCGCCAACAGTTCTCTGAGCTTGCACCTCCTGTCCATCTCGGCACGCTCCCGCGGGAAAGGCATCCACACGCGTTCGCCTTCCCGGGGGTCGGCCTTCTCAAAGCCCGCCCACGTCATGGCTCCGTTCGGCCATGTGCCGACCGAGAGGGCGGGCGGGCCAAATCAAATCCCGAGGCGATTTGGGCCCCTGGCTCGTTCATCGCAATCAAATCACTCCCCCGCCTACCTCTCTCCTCACATGCCCACGCCCTCACCCTCACCCCCTCGCGGGGTGATGGGGGAGGAGCGGGGAGGGGGGTGCAAACCCACGTTGGCGTCGCATGTTCCAGGCCGAGTTGCGAAAGGGAGGTTGCAGTTTCAACGCGAGCATGCCGAGCTCAGCTGACGGTGCTCGCGCAAGTCTCAGCTGAGAAAGGGCGTCGGCCGACATGGAAGGTATCTGAGAGAACCGTTGTTCCAATTTTTCCAGGGCGCCTTCTCATGCCCCCTCTGGGCAGTTGCCCTGCCCCCCCTCCCTTCCTGCCCAACGTGCAACCACTCGCGGCTGCAGTCGCACTTGATCCGACCGAATGCGCTGCTAAAGTTCACTCCGCGGCATTGTGGACCCCTCCCCTGGGCGCCGCAATCACCTGAGCTTCAAAAGCTGCAGCGCAAAACTTGGCTCCCTCCAGGGTCATTTTGAGGCGACCGACCCCGCCCGCCTCGCCAGGGGGTCGCGGGCGCTCTTCCACGCCTTGATATCCCTGTGTTTCGACAGGCCCGCCTCGATGTAGCGAAAGATCTCCGTCTTCGCCTCCTCGTCGGCAGACCCGTCGATCGCCTTCGGGAAAATGGGGACGCCAACAGAGACTCCCTCGGGCACCCCTTCTCGCCCTTCCCGCCAATTGCCGCGAAGATCGTCGCGAAACCGAAAAGGGGAAAAGGGGATGTCGCCAACGTTCAGGACCCCTTGCTTGCTGTCGACGCGCGCGAGCACCAGCGAATACATTCCAGCCTTGATCAGGAGATGGGCAGCAGCTTGAAAAATCATTGCGCCTTCGAGGACCAGCGAGGCACGCGCTGAGCCTGGAAACGCCACGCCGTTGAAGTCCCACGCCCACGCGTACGGGTTCAGCGCAACGATGAAGGGTTGCTGGAAGGTCCTTGGCGCCCCCGAAAATCTGCCCCCCCCCCCCCCCCCGTGATCTCATCCGCCTTATCGAAGGGTATCTGGTACATGGCCGCGTTCGCGCGCATCTTCTTCTTCTTCTTCTTCTTGAGGTTATCCACCGTCCTGCCCAGCTTCTCGGCGTCATGACCCTTCACCTTGCGGAGGATGTCAACGAACCTGCAGCCCTCGACCTCGTCGTTCGTCCGCAAGAGCTTCGTGACATCGAGCTCCATACCAGCCGTGAACTCGAGCACGCCGTTAGCACCCTCTGCGGCCTCGCTGGCGGGAGAGGGGTCGCGTTGGTTCGAGGGCTTCAATTCAGGGCATCTCACAGTAGCCTGGGGTTCGGAGGATGCCTCAGGCAAAACAGGCCTGAGTACCTTGCGAACCACATCTTGGACCCCCTTCCCCGCGTCGATGCTCGAGAAACTCCCTCGCGGCCAGCCTGTAGGCTGCGAAGGAATTTCTCGAAATGGCCTCCACCTCTCCCTCCACTCCCCCCCATCCTCAGCTAGAACCGCGCACGCGCTTCGAGAGCGTTTGGGTTCGAGCGCATGCCGTGGCGTTGTTAGCTGTGCGTGCTTTTCGGACCGGCTTGTTACATGCCTTGCCTTACCTCGTCCTCCAATATTCCTTATACGTCCTTCCTCGTCAACCCTCCAGTCTCTCTCGGTTGTCCTCGCTTGTCGTTTCTCGTTCTTGTCGACGGCCTCCTC